CACACACTCACACACACACACACAAACACACACGCTCACATTCAAGTACACACACACACATACACAAACACACAATAATAAAAAAATATTATACCATTACTACAAATACACACGCACAAAAGCGTGCACACTGCACACGAGCTATAGTTATAGCAGTATGATGATACATGTTATCGAGGTGCCGCTAATCATTATAGCTCTATCTTTCACTTTTACTATTAATTAACACTTTTTGAGGGACCTGCAATTTCTCATAAGTCTAACAATTTTTGAGGGACCTGCAATTTCTCATAAGTCTATTTTGTTATTATTATTATTATTATTATTATTATTAATAAATTTACGTTCATTTAGGTACCCATGTACAATAGCCGACATGCACAATGTATTACAATCTCTTTCTCTGTCCTGACAGGCCAGGCATGTTACAACACGCGAAGCTGCGCGGAGGGATTCCAGTTGGCCGATTGGATCTACTGTTGACATGATTAGTTCCCCTGGCGGATCTAGGGAAAACAAACCAATCAAATCTAAGCCGGGAAGCAAAATTTCAAGATGGCTGTCAAAACTGTGTTGTAGTGACAGTCGGCTGGTCCCGATAAACGTTACTTTCTGATTTTAATCATTTTTAGCACGATGCCATTGCAGTCTTAATGCTGCTAGGAGAGAAATGCATAATACAACGTGGTCCAAAACTCTGAGGGATTACCTCAAGAAAAGAGAAAGTACGTTTTCATGTGAAAATCTAATTACGAATTATGAATGGAATGGTCGATGGATTTCTCATTGTTGATGTTGACATAATTTGTTGTCATTGTTGTAGTGTGACTGTGTAGTATTGTTGATGTTGCTTAGTCAGATTGAGATTAATGGGTGTGAGGAGTTTTTGAGAGCTTATATCTTAGAATATTATTTGATGTGATGTTACTTTGTTCAGAGTTGCAGAGGCCACTGTCTGCAATATAATTCAGGCAATTCAATCTTCAGTTTTGGCCATGTCAAGAGTAATGATAGCCTTAATGCCGAATGAAAGTTCAATATTTTTAACTTTGTTACTTTATGAGGGATAGGATCTAGTTAAAGTTCGGTTAGGAGTAAGGATACCTGAATGTTGGGTGACTTAATGGTATTCGTTGGGGCCAAAACCGGAATCCTAATGTCACTAATTAATGATATTCGTATTCGGTTGGAATTCCGTAACAGGCGACCACTAAACTAATTATTATAATAGACTTGGCATAGAAGATCTTATGAAACAGAGAGTGAATAGAGGAGGGTAACAAAAGGCAGTAGATCTATCTAAGATTAGGCGTTGGGTCAGGGTTAGGGTAAGGTTTCTTTTATTTGTTTGTTGGGTTGGTTGCTTGCTTGTTAAGGAAGTCCTTCCCAACCAATATTCTCATGAATTTTTCGTCAATAATAATAATTAAATTTTTATAAACTTGGGCCCTAAAAATAAGGGTATTTTCATAGAATCACTTCCGTGTTAGGGATGCTATCCATGCCAGTTTTTTTCTGATGTATTTTGGACCTATTGAAACGTTTTTATGTTATTTAATTTAGTTCCAAATTGTAGTCATAGGGGGGTTTCAGGGGATTGTCCATTGATGGGTGATTGCGTAAAAGCATGCTTACAACTGGCACAGGGAAATGGAGGTTTTCAGATATATATATGAAAAAATCAAGAACTCAAACTTACTCTTTTTCTTCTGTTTTAATGTTATCATCCAGACTTCACCGATGATGGTCTGACTTTATAGTACAGTAAAAAGTTTTAAAGTGTGTATAGTGAACTATAGTGGTTGCTTGTTCCTGAGCAAGACAAAACCCAAGCTTGTTTAATACAGGGTGCTGCACAAAGATGACTTGTTGCAATTAATGCAATGATGTGATGTTCGTAAGGTTGTCTGTATTGATGGGATATTTATATTATGTGACTTCAATAAACTTTTTTGTGTGTATACATGTGTATTTAAAAAAAAACAACTGCCAATGTAAAGTGAGATTTTTAAAATCTTTACACGTATTTTTGTATGAACATTCCTTTGACATTCTCTGTGAACCTGTAAAGTTTGGCTTTAAACTTTCCATGACTTAGTCTGTGTTTATTTTTCTTTTGTCAACAGATAAAAGTAAAAATGTATCAAAATCTTCAAATGAAGAGGAGCTGGAAATATTTACTTGTCTTTACAAACAATTTAAAGGACTTCAAGAGGATCATGTAAATGTACCGAGCCTTTATTCAAAGGTAAGTGCCAGCATGTTTGCAGTTTTTTTAAGCCACACTTTTTGAAAAATTTGGCCCAGACTTCTTCACTAAAAAAAATAAATGTCCCCTTGAAAATGGTTACAAAATCAAAAAATAAAACTGAGGGAAAAACCCCCAGATAGCTCCTTGATGAGTGGGAACCCTGACCTTAGTGTTTCACAGATTGAAATACCTGAGGCAAAGTTTGAGTCAAATGAATTCAAATAAACTAATTAATTATGAAAAGAGGGTCAGAATTGCCGAGTTGGTCAGGAAGAAGGCTATATATAAATTATTCACTTTCTTTCACAGACTTGGTCTGAACGGTATCATTCAGAAGCAGAGGTATAGAATAGGGAAAACAGTATATTATGACATTACAAATGTGGGGTACACATATCTTTATATAAAGACAAAATTACATTTTCACAAAACACATTCCTGTACTTTTTAAAAAGTTGCAAGAAAAGTGAATAACCTGTGTGACTCAGCTTTACACTGGGAAGGAAATAAAAGAAGTCACTCTTTTTTCTTTTTACAGGGACAAAATGTAATATTTCTCCTGCACTGCTAGGGGTCCTTTTGATTGGGGCGGGGAGGGGGGGGGGGGGGCGCGTAGTAGTGTTTTGCTGTTGGGTTAACTTTTGATTTTTAAACAAATGTACATTATGATAAAATAAACATTAGGGCCCTTGTATGACTTTTTTATGTTGTAAGTGCTGTGAATCTTTTACTAAAATTAAAACAGAAATGTTAGAAATTATATGATTTTGATGAACTCTTCTTTTTTCTGTCTTTTTCCTTGCATTTTCTGTTTCTATGAAGTATTATGTACATGTAATTATTATGATTCATTTCTGAAGAAAAAAAAACAACTCAAAAATTTTTACTCCTTTCAGTTACCATCTGAGGACGAACCACTTTTACTGAAGTTACGCGAAGAATCCAGGTATGTATGCAGAAAGATGGTTGCTGTCATTCTATTTCCACTGTGATGTAATTTTGTTGCTATTTTAATTGTGCTGTGAGTGTTGTTTCAGGCCTGTTCATCAGAAAAAAATGGAACTATAGAACTGATAGGAACTCTGAGTGGCAATGTATAAATATGTAAGACTCTGACACGTGTCCGTCCTCCGCAACATGTCCTTGTCCGAGTTGCTCTCATCGGTATGTCCGATGTCCTTTTTACTCATTTTGCACTCCTCTGCGTTTGTTCACTTCGGGTGCATTTTGATTCTTATTGATTTTACCAAAAAGCTTTTATAATCAAATAATATTGTCCTGATCTTTTCCAGTCGTCCATCTGTTTAGACCTTCAACGTAAGTTACTCTGAGTCTACCCCTGCCTCGTTTGCCTTTTATCAGTGAGAGCTAGATGTTCAAGGCCCTTTTGTGTCTACTCAAAAGTCCCAGGAACTGCGTAATTGTCATTTCCTAATTGTTTTTTTATCAGCGAGCGGACCATGTGGGTTTCTGCAAATGCTGCCTCATAACGATTTCTTTTTCTCTTAAGTAATTTTCAACAGTCTCTCTAAGCCATGTACAGTACAAGACTTTACATTCAATACAAAAGACAAATCAAAAGACAGAAAATGTTCAATGTGATTGTGAGAACATTTGACAGCAAACACAGACACACACACATTTTCACATACAGAAGCTTGAGCAAAAGAGTTCATGCGGCACGTAAAAAAAGAGGTGTAAACTATTTCTTTCACATGCAATGACAAAAGGGGAGGAGTGGCCAGGGAATAGGGGAAAAAAGGTGGCCAAAATAGGGAAAGGACATGGCACGGAGAGCAATACGGAAATGGACACGCTAAGGAGGCCGGACACGCTGCGGAGTCCTACATGTGTAGCACGTATTGAATTGACTTTCTTGCAAATTTGTTAAAAATTGGTTGTTTTTTTGGCATAGCTAATTTCAGTTCAGGTTATTATTGATCTTTTTATTTATCATAAGAATAATCTTTGATACCCTTTGTATTTTGCCAGAGCATTGTTTCTCCAGAGAAGAAGCCGGGAGCTTTTAGACAATGATGAATTGCAGGTTAGTTTCTTTCCTGTTACATTTGAAAAAGCACAATAAGTAAGTTTGTTCCTCTTTCTCTCTTTATGCACCTATTGAAGCATGCATTAACAAACTAGTGCAGACAGCGGAGCTCAGACTTAAATTTCATGCATGTTGTAGATCAGTTTGGCAGTTGATAGTGTCATTCATTTTTTCTGCTAGTTTTCAAGGTGTCAAAAGCCAAGGATGTTGATAGACATTTTTAGAGACTGCAAGACTGGTCTGTAGCCATTTGTACCTCCTGGTAATCAGAATGAGTTTATGAGAATTTGAAGGCAAGTTGCTAAGAAAAAGACCCAAAACCCTCCTCCACCACCACATCCCCCCAAGAATTTCAGGATTCTTGTTTCTTTTTCTTTCTCTTCAGATAAAATGTTGTATAACATTTTTAAACTGAATATCGTTGTTGTCTTGTATCTGAGAGCCCTGTCCATAGAGTTCTAATTTATAACATTATGATTGTGCTTGGTAATATCTTTGTTGCAGAAATTGTGGTTTTTGCTGGATAAGCACCACACGCACCCACTTCATGGGGATGAACAGATGATAAGCTATGATGACTTCCTGAGGGTTCAGGAAGAAGCAGGGCAGAAGTGCAAGTGAGTGAAACCGCTCTGACAATTTCTCAATCTGATTTGCTCTTTTTTTAAGTTGAGCTCGCTGAAGCATATTTTGAATTGGAAATTGAAACAATAATGACCACTCTAGGCATATGACATATTGTTCTGTGATATTTCTTAACATTTTAGAATACTGTTCTTGTACATTTGTAGGAGATACTGCTTTCATTAAAATGTGTAAATGTCCACCATGTAACACTGATCATTTTGCTTTTTCTCTAATCATAGTATTTTGTTTGAGAGTGAGGGAGTATTGAAAGACTGATGTAGTCAATGTTTGTCCATTCTATATATATACAGTTTAATGCTTTCTGTTTACAATGAAGTTCTCGTGTTGGACCTCCAAGCTTGTTGAATCGGAAGATTCGTTATACAAAAGGTGTAATTGACATGGGTAACCTGGGTGATTTCGTTGAATCCGAATTTCACTGTATGAGGAAATATGATCATCAAAAATGGAGAGTATAAGCCTTGTGCTGTACAAGAAAACGAGGAAAGGTACACTTTTTCATGTGGCCTCAGCATTTTTTTAAATGCTTCGTAATAAGCTTTTGGAATATTTTGTTTGTACAATTACATTAGTGAAGGATAGGATTGAATATCATGTGTCTTATCACAAGATCACTTTCACGCCTTGTATGCTTTTTGTGTTTCAGATCGTTTTTCCAGGCATCAGTATTCTGTAAGCTACTTCAAAGTGACCCTTTTGGCCGCATCTCCATCATGCAGTTTTTTAACTATGTCATGCGCAAAGTCTGGCTCCACCAGACACGCATTGGCTTGTCCTTGTATGATGTCGCAGGGCAAGGCTATTTGAAAGAGCCTGTGAGTAAAAAAAATTTTTTTTTTCCCCACATGCATAAAATTGATCCTTGTATCCTAATTATGATTCTCCAATCTGCTTAAGCCTCAATTGTGATGGACTTGTCAATGTCAAGGAATGTTCGAGAAAGATTTACTTGATTTTAAATGAGATCTACTTTTAAAAACCTGCCTATAGTCAATAGAGGTTCACCTCGTCAAAGAAGAAATCTTAGATTTTTTGGCATGGTTTCTACAAGAACACGATGGATGAATTTTCCAAGTGAAATATACTTTCTACTTCTTGCCTTGATATATTTTTTTGTTTTCTTGAGCTTCTAGCTCATTACTATTTTAAAAAATTGATTGTCTTGGTTTTGTTTAAGGTTCTTGCATGTTTTAGGAAGGCGGGCGTTCCCCAAACGAACATTAAGAACTACTGGATCTTTTATAAATTGAAAGATATGTTGACAGATCCATTTGTAGAAATGAACAATGATAGAATAAGATCAGCTCTGATTACTTTTATTTATTTGCTTCCCTTTCCAGGATCTGGAGAACTATATCCTAGAACTGATACCAACACTGCCGCAAGTAAGTTGATTATTTGTTTATACTACAGATGCATTGTCTTATTTAACACAAAGTAAATGTAGATGTCATGGGTTCACTAAATTGTGGGATCTTCTATAACATAATGAAGTGCACAAACAAGTCTGAAAAAAATGCCGTTGTGTATTTTGTGTTCAATGTACTAATAACCAGAATATATTCTCGGAAATGGGGGTCTTATTCTTAGATTAATGATTTGCTGTGTTATTTGTGTAATCCTTGACCTTGTCAATGAGTTGATTGCGGCTTTTGTGTTTTTATCTTTTTATGTTATTTTGGACATAATCATCTGCCAGGCCGAAGTAATAAATTTGATGAAATTGTTACTTAATTTTGTTTTCCTCTCCACAGTTGAATGGACTTGAAAGATCTTTCTATTCTTTCTATGTCTGTACTGCTGTACGCAAGTTTTTCTTTTTCTTGGATCCCCTAAGAAGTGGAAAAATCCGGATACAAGACATCTTGGCTTGCAGTTTCCTCGATGATTTACTTGAGGTGAATTATCTTACATTTTCTATGTCATTTATCTTCTGTGTAGGGACCAGTATTTTGTAGGGTTCTCTGTTAGCTCAGTTGGTGTTGCTTTTCGGTTAACAATATCTTTACCTACAATTTTGTATTTATGGACCCAATGTCTCTGCCTTAAATTGTATAATATTAGTTGAAGTATTCTGTACTCTAGCTGCTAAGTTTTAAAATGTAAAAAAGAATAGTTCTTATGCTAACATTTTGTTGTCATTTTTTTCAGTGGCTGTGGGTGGTTAGCAGGTGCTGTGGTGTGATTTGCTCTTTCTTTTCTATTAACATATATTGTCCATCTCTCCTTCTTTTCTTTGTATGTTACTCTCTAGTGACACCTCTATGGCACATATATGACCTTTGTGTTGCAAATAATGTAAAACTTTTACGAAAATTAATTAAATTAAAAAACATTTCAGTGGCTGCAGTGTAGTTTCACCTGCCAATGAATACGTCCCAGTGGTCAGACGGTGCAATCAGTAGGTTTCACTTCTCCATATCTCTCTTTATATTGTCTGTATGGACGATATTTTCTTTTCCTTACTCTTTATGATGAACTTATTGATAATCCCTATCTTTTTGATAATCCTTCTATTTTTTGTGTAGTGTTGCTTTTTTGGAGTTTTGTATGACTTTCATCATACTGATTTTTCCTGTTGCAAAAAGCAAAAAGTGTTTATAATTCAAAACATCTAAAAAGTTTCTTTTAAATTCTCAGCTGAGAGATGAAGAGTTGTCCAAAGAAATGCAAGAGTCAAACTGGTTCTCCGCACCATCAGCTCTCAGAGTGTATGGACAGTATCTGAATTTGGACAAAGACAGGAACGGGATGCTCAGCAAGGAAGAACTCGCAAGGTCAGTTGTGGATTTGAGCTAGCTATCAGTGACACTGATGCTTAATTAGAGGACTGACATATGGGGGAAGGTTTTTGAGCAAATCAGTTTTGCTGTCTAGAGTGCCAGCTGCTGTGATGAAGTAGATGAACTTTTTAGAGCTACAGTCTAGTTAATGGTTTTTAGATTGTGTTTGATTCTGAGATTTTTATTCTTTTGTTACTTTGAAAGCAGAATTTGTTGCTTTGTAGTGAGGAACTGGACTTGAAACTAGATAATAGATACGTCTAAAGTATAAGCCGAAGTTGCTGAGTACATGTGTGTTCCTCTTAACTGAAATGTGCTCCAGTTTCCATAATGCTTTAACAGAACTGATTATTTAGTAGACTGTTCCGTAAATAGGACACTAGTATGTCAGATGTTAGTCCCCTTATCTGCTGACAGACAAGATCCATGGCAGGGTGGAATGAGACAAGCACCATGATGACCAAGCTTTGCCTGGAGTCGGATCTAAGATCTTTCGATCCCGCTTGTCTTTCCTCAGTGTTGTACACGTTTTCTCTTTGTTGGAAGAAACCTAAAAAAGAGTATTGATTTTAAAATGTCAGAACTGCAGGTGTTCTGTCTTCTTTCTAGTTAACAAATAAGATCTCCTTGATCTGTTTAGATTGGTTTGGTAATGGTTGTGGCCGATATTCACTATATCAATGGATCCCTTCTTTGCTTCGTCGTTTGACCCAAGAGTATTTGGGCCTGTTATATTCTGCAATGTCATGTGACACCTAGTAGCCTTCTCACGGTTTTCATCAAATACACCCATTCATTATGTAGAAAAATAGATATTTTTTTATTTTGGAGGGTTTTGTCTCATTATGCCAAAATTGTAGCTTTTCCACACTATATCAAACAAAGGTTTGAGAGAACTTTCTACATTGTGTACCTGGTATCAGATTGCGAGTTAGTCAGTCTTCTGAACACCAGGTCACTAACTCCATCAACAGATGTACATAAAAAAAGCACAAACAAATGTGTGTCTTTCATGCTATCAAGTCGCAAGCCACTTTGGATTGCCTTTTGGATACGTAATTGGTCTAAAAGCCTGCGGTGTTTCATATGTATTTTTTTTTTTAGAATTTCAGTATTGTGATTGCTGAGGTTATTGTAAAGAGTCTGAGAAAAGGAAAGTTGATGAATATTTTATTTTAAGCAAAATCACAAATAATGTTGCATTTATAATTTATGTAAAGCACCTAGAGCTGTGTTTACATGGGAGTGGGCGCTATAGAAATGATATTCATTATTATTATTATTAAAGTATACATCTATATGGGATATAATTTTTGTTTTTAGGTATGGTACAGGGACATTGACGGATGTGTTCCTGGACAGAGTCTTCCAAGAGTGTTTGACCTATGATGGTGAAATGGTGAGTTGAAGCTAGAAAAGGCCAGTTTTGCATTTTTTAAAATCGCATTTGCTTGTCTTAGTCAATTTTTCATTCTGATGTTTTGGATCTTAACAGTTCTTACCTGTTTTGCAGCTAGGTGTCCCAAAATTTTAAAACATTATTGTGTGTTGCCGGTGTTTCCAATACATTTTCGTGTACATGTTTTCCCAGTGTGGTACAACTTTTCTCTTACATGGCAGAAATCTGAAAGAATATGAATTTTCATACATTAGAACTACAGGAGTTCTGTCATCTTTCTCATCAAATTTTGTCTATGGCCTCTGATTTGATCAAATGATAATTATTTGCTGTTCAGCTTGCTATTTACACACCTTTTTTCGTTGTATGACATATGTTTATTTATAATTCTGTGTTTGCACTAGTCAAATTTTAGAATTAGTAAGTGGGTGGTTGGTGGGTGCTCTGGTGTGGTTTGCTCCTTCTTTCCTATCAAACATCTATCGTCCTGATTTCTCCTACTTCTTTTCTGTGTTTGTTACTCTCTTGTAACACTTCTAATCTTGGGCACTTATATGACCTTATTATGTTGCAAGTGCCGTAAAACTCTTACAAAAAATTTTTAAAAAATTAGAATTAGTATTGGTAAGTTGAAGCTGGAGACGTCAAGTTCCTGAAGGGATAATGTGTCTCATTTTGCCATCTCTTAGGACTACAAGACTTACCTAGACTTCGTTTTGGCCATGGAGAATCGCAGGGAGCCTCAGGCCCTGCGCTACTTGTTCCGCATCCTTGATGTCCAGCACCAGGCCTACCTCAATGTATTCTCACTCAACTTCTTTTTCAGGGTAAGTTATACATTACGCAGCACTAAGATATTACTATTCTGTCCAAGGGTAATACTTTCAGCATAGAATACGCTAGGTGTGTTCGTATATTCATGTTTGTGAATGTGTATCTCTGTGTTTATTACAAAAATACAGAAACTGATGCACTGAGTGTCACTAGTGTTGGATCACATTTTGTTTCTTTGACGTGTCCACTGCATGCTCACTCATAGTGATGTCATATTATGATGTACTGATGTATGTGCCAAAGGCCTGTAAAATTAGAAAGATCAATGGAATGTTTCAAAGTGGGTTTACTTTGCTTGTTTGGACAGTTTCAGATCTGAGACTTTTAAAGTATTCATTTATTATAAATGTTCTACACCCAGTCAACTCAGTTTAGATAGTCTGGGAGTTTGGCTACTTCAACTTTGCCTGTCAGTGCCACCTCAGCCAGGCTGATTAGGATACATCCCGCTGTACAGATGGGGATCTTGATAAGAAACTTCCCAACTCAATAATTGAACTTGTGTCTTCTGCTTGAAACTGAAGAACCAAAATTTTTAAACTGCAGACACTGCAGAGGCATCCTTGATTATGTAGTAGTAATGTCACCATATCTCATTTGAAGGATGCAGGTTTTTCGATATCTTTTTCTGCATGGACTAATAGATGGTTGACCTTGAGTATTTTAACTTGCAAGTGCACTGATTTTTACTTTTTATCAAGAGCATTGCGTTTCCTTTCTGTTGTCTGTGGGGTGCATAAAATGTCAGTGAAAATGTGATCAGTCATGTTGAGCTAAGATTGAAGGATATCAGTGTTGGAAATGCCAGTCCGGCTAATACATGATGGGATCCAGCTACTGGGTGAGCAGCGTGACCCGTAAATACTCAGGAAGCTGTGCAAGTGAGCTATAACTCTTTAGTAGTGGTTCCCAGGACCCTTGTCATTATATCTTTGTTTGTGTTCACCTGGGTGTGTAATAAAGTGACTTCATTGCCTTTTGTTTTTATGGATTGCAATGAGCAGACTTTTTTCTTCCTTTTCTTTAACAGGCAATTCAGGAACAAATGAAAATCCATGGGCAAGAACCAATCAAATTCCAAGATGTGAAAGATGAAATCTTTGACATGGTGAAGCCAAGTAATCCATTAAGACTAACCCTGAACGATCTCATAAGAAGGTGAGGTATTTTATGTACTTTTATTTAATGTTAAACATGTGTGTATTCTTTGAGGTAATCTTTGTAGGCCTGTTGTACCTGGCTTGGATGTGTTTGAATAGCATGCATGCGTCTACGTTTATTGAAAACCCTTTGCCTGCACTATGAACAAAGCTGATACACCCTTATGATTTTCTACAGTGTGTGCTGTAGGCATACCTGGTACGCCCGTATACAAACTGTGTTTTGTTTCATTCCTGTGCCTGCTTCTTCATAGTTTTGAACGAAGAGAGTTTGATCCGGTTGTCTGTGTCCACTTGCTGATGTGATCATGTCTATTTTTAGGCTACTATGCACAGGAATCACAAGTGATGGCACATTGTGTGAAACAGTCACAGTCAGTGTGTAGAATCAGAGCGCTTGAGCACTTTTTAAATTGTTTATGTTGTTATGGCTTGTTCTTCATTTCTCTTTCCGTTGATATAAGTAGTTTGAAAGGATGCAGAGGCTTTGTGACTGATAAAACAAAGCGAGATGTGTTGTCTGTCTTACACACATTGTACGATTGGTTGTTGGTGGTTTACAAGTACTGCGTGAGAAGTTATTTATGTACTTATTTTATTATGACCTTGTCCATAGTGGCCACCTGTCTATAACAGTCACTTTTCTCCGTGATCTTGTATGACTGTTACGGACAGGTTTAACTGTAGTACAAGTTGTGTAAAAAGGAACATTTTAACCTAGATGTTTATGCAGAAGCTGCTTCTGTTGTAAACTGTACAATGTGCCTCTTCACAGAGAAGCAACGAAATGCTGTAGGTCATAGCTTAAAAGAACACTGTTACATATAATTACTGTCCCTAGAAAAATATTAAACTCTGTTAGGCTCTCCATTGCATGAATGAAGACACGGCTGCCATATTTTTTGTTGTTTATATATGTCAACTGAAGATTGAGTGTTGCATATTTTCATTTGTTTGTATTTCAGTGGTAAAGGTGATACTGTTGTGAGCATTCTCATTGACCTGAATGACTTCTGGACGTATGAGAACAGAGAGTACCTAGTGCCAGACCTGTCTGATGAAGTGTGATATATAAGGAATCTCTGCAGACCTCCAACCGTTCACCAGATCAGTCGACACGGAAACAAAATGTGACCCTCAGTTTCGATAAATCATTTTAGACATATTGTTGTTTTTTTCACTTTACCATTGTGAAATGCAGTTATAATCAAAAGAGCAACATCAACACATGAACTGTTATAACTTCCTCAAAGAAGAAAAAAGTTGGACAATGATCCGGATATCGAACTGTGATCTGACAAGGGTCAATTTTGCCTCTCATTTCAGTGTGGAAAATAGTCATGAAACTTAATGTTTATGACGAATTCTGTTCCCAAAAAGTTTTGAGAGACTCTCAAGCTTGACGCTCAAATTGTAAAAATAAGACAAATACCATTTGTCCATTGGATTTCAGTATTAGAAAGATTCTGAGATATTTGAAAACTTCATACCGGTACCTTGACAGACAGATTTTGTTGTGACTAACTTTCAGTCAGCTTTAAGATGTGGTGGGCAATTGAAATGGATACAAACTGGAACATTCCACCCTTCCATCAATACGTTGCTTTGGTCCGATACTCACCATCGGCAATCAATCGGCATCACAGCCTTCACCTTCACTGTCCCCGTATGTTGGTCACTTTTTCCAGGAAAGGACCCTCGTGTCTTAGTTTTCTGTTGGTTCTTATAGTATTCGCGGGGTAACTTAAATGAATTAGATTTTTCTTGTGAAAGTCTGTAATTTAGAACTTGTCTGTGACTTCAATGTGGTCACAAGAATGTGTTCTTAAGTCCTGTTTATATTGTATGGTTATTTATTTTTTGTCTGGTACATCATGTAAGTTCTTACGAGTGAGAGACATGTATCTGGTAAAGTCCGTCCTAGAGTCCTATTGTTTCTGAGAGTTGTTCCTGTTCACAGGATGGTTACTCTCTGCCATGAACATGCCAGTCTGTTGTTGTGAAATGATGGGGTTTTTTTTCACTGACTGACAGCTTGCCTCTAAGAAATAAGAACTTGGGTTCTGTGTGTCTGATGTTTATATTATGGTAATTACTGCTCACTGCTGTTGCACGTCTAGTTGATGTTATGGAGAGTGGAAAGGGCCAACCGTTCTTTATGGCAGGACTTTTTTTTTCCACTTCACCGTTTTTTCACCCGAATTATCTAAATCTGGAATTTTGACACTTCCTCTCACTGCTATTGGTAGTGGAATGGATGCAGGTTTAAGTTTAATGGTATGGAGTAAAGTATTTTATTTGCCAATGTCTGTCTTGATTATTTGTCCAAAAACTAAACGTCAGTTTTACTGAACAAAAAACATGTTGATAAAATATGGTTTGATTCTACATGTTCCTTTTGCTGAACAAAATGGTGTGTTCAGATTTTATGAGGTATTATGTGCAACAGTCCATTGATCTCTCATTGTATTCAAGTTATTTTGTAGCTATTTTTATTGACCTACATTCTCTCCCCACTTTTTCAGTTTGTTGTAATAGTGAACAAAGCCAGCAGTATGGCTTTTGAAAGTCATGAGCTGGCAAGCTACTGAATCTATGGAAGTCAAAACTTGCTTGAAGAGACTTCTATTTGTACCCATATATATTATTTTCACTGTTTATTCTCCCACTGAACGTCCGCTGTCCAGTTGAGATGTTGTGATAAATATAAATATTATATTACATTCATCCCTTTGAAAAACTAGAAATCCACAAACCTAAAATAGCGCTCATATGACCTTATGCAGTTGCGAATGCTGTAAAACCTCTACTATAACAAACTAAAACCTAAAATATAGTCCGCCTGAGGGGGGTTCTTTCCCTTATTTCATTCTCCTCAAATTGTAAATAATCACTGCACAGATATTTTTACCCCTGTTCACATGCATTACCCAAAATTCACCTGTAGAACCTAACAAACATGATTCAGATACTGAACTGTAGCATTAACTCTCTTGTTGTCCTCTTTGTCTGTCTGGAAGCAATGACTATTTCTGACCAATTTGGTCAATGGTAACGATTTGTTCAAATTCAAGGTGATGTACAAATACAAAAAAGTTTCTGGACTGAGCTTTACCAAAACAAAAATCCCCCGTGGTTTCTGCAAATTTGTGTCGTTTCGTTAAAATGGCACTTTTGGACAGGTATAATCTGAATACAGCGGTCTAGTGAATTGTGGGAACTTCTCTGGACCTCTTTTTCAGGTTTTATCTGGCAACTGTTGCAAAGTTTTCATTCACAAAAACACTGTTGTTCCATCAAGGACCAAGTGCGTAGCCTGCCTATTAAGAAAAATACTGATTTTCTGTCCATCTCATGTGAGGTAATTTCTTGTGAAAGCATTGCTTGCCAAAAAAAACCTTTGTGCAATTTTGAATGTGAACTTAGGTACTACTTCTGATAAAATTGCTTTGTCTCAAGATTGGAACAGTAGGCTTGCTCATGCCTTAACACAGTGATTGTTTTCTGAAAAAAGTTCTTGTGATATTGTATTGTCGAGTTTCCAAATATTAACCGGCTTCTTTGACAACATGATGCTTTGTCATCTTCTAACCGAATTGAGCTGAAACTTTACCACTCCTTCTTTCCTGTAAAAAATCTACCGTCCCTATCTCCCCTCCTTCTTTTTTGTGTTTGTTACTCTCTTGTAGCACCTCTAATCTTTGGCACTTAATATGACCTTACTGTGTTGCAAGTGCTGTAAAACTCCTACTAAAACTAAACTTACCACTCAGATCACAAGTTCATCTAATCTCTAGTAGGCATTTTATGTTTTGATTGATTTTAGAAGTTTGTGGGATACAACAGTCAGAGGTTTGGTGACAATCCATAAATTACCTAATATCTATAGGTTTTGGTTAAATTTGAAAAATAGAATGACAGTCAGCAAACTTTTTGATTGTGCCTTGTGCAAAGGGAACATTTTGAAGATTTTATCAAATTTTTCTTCCAAAAGGGATATCTAAAAAAAATTTTCAATTTGTTTAGTTTTTGTTCCCCCCTCCCCCACATAAAAAAAAATAAATAGACCTCGCAATCAGTCTTGTAGGTTGACTTTTGCTTGACTCACTGCCTTTCCACTTGGTGTCAGAGGAAAGAAACCTGTTCATGAGGGCAACATCCTACAGTTCAGATGGAGATTAGAAAGGAACAGGATTTTTTCTCCAAAACACCTGGTCTCAGGGTAAGAAGAATAATGTTGCCTTAGCTCTGCTGACAATGGAGCTGTGACTGAGACAGTATAGAGCAGTTGTAGTCTGATGGAATACAGATTGAAAGTATACTGGATGGGAATTTGGTGAACATATGAATGTCTTTATTGTTTTTCATTTTGACCTAGAGAAAAATGCCAAATCAGTGAGAGAGTGAGAGTCTGTGCTGCATTGGGTATTGTTGTACAATGTATTGTGTATTCACACAATTAATGTGGTGTACCGTTAATAGGTTTGGTTATGCTTTCACGTTGTCGTGGTGCGCCTTTGTCAAATGTTCAGGAATATGATGAAATAATGTCATTGCCGACAGTGTCTTTAACTGAGAATTCGATGCATTGTCATGCTTGTCCCACTGAGATTTTTACTTTATAGCTTTATAGGACCTTATACATTTCGTCTCCTCAGTTTTTTGTCTCATGCCTCAGATACAAAGCTTTGAGCTAGTCACTGCCTCGACACTGTATGATATTTTGCATCGTTTTCACTGTGAAAAAAATGTTGGCCCTCCCCTTCTTAATATTGGGTATAATTTTTGCAGCTGTGAGTCCAACAGGCGAGTGTGCTAGGGGTGTACCCGCTTTGCCAATTTATTTTGTTGCTTTTTATTGTCCTGCAGAGGAATGTATTGTGCTGCTTCTTGAGATTATTTCATAAAAGTTAAATGGAAGGAGAAATGGATTGAAACACTTATGTTGAGGACATTAGCAACCAAGATGTAATACAGAAGGAAATTCTGGTGATTCTGAGACCAAGATTTAGACAGTTGTAATATAATTGTGTGTATTTAAACAAGTTGGTGAATGAACTTAAGCGTGTGTGGGGTTGTTGGGGTTTTTTTCTTAAAGAATTTAGCAGATAGGGAGGTTTAGAAAGATGGTTGTCATAGAAAATTGAGGATTTGTAGTTTTATAAAATGTAGGGCATTCCCCATTGAAAGTATACCTGCTGTTTGTACTCTTGGTTGTCACAAACCAGTATTTTCTATCTTATTGCATTTATCATTTCAAAGAACATTGTGTGAGAGTATATCATACCCCTATATTTGGGCAATATATGCTGTATTGTGTTTGATAGAATTTTCACCTTAGAAGAATGTTGTTGATTGGAAAGATGGGAATTACAGTTAAGTCCACTTCAACCAAACACTTAGAATCCGAGAACATTGGTAAACATAAAGAAAATAGAATCCCCCCCCCCATTTGAGATAACACTCTATCCAAAAAACTCGATTGAACCAAATAAAATCTGGTGACTCTGTAGATTTCGCTTTTGAGTGGACTCCACTGTACTTTATTTCAATGATTTTTTACAATGTGTGGCATTGTGCCGAAGTCGGGCGCTCGTCAAAATGATAAAATCGAAGAAACCGGCATTTTCTGCTGGTTTAGCAATTTTTATCGGATTTTCGTTTTTCGACAACACTTAAAAGAAATAAAAACACACTTCTGTATGGATTTTTTTCATAAAAACGTTGATTAAAGTAGGCACAAAAAAGTGTAAATTTTTAGTTTTTAAGGACTTTCAATCAATGGAAATTATCAAATTTGGGAGGCCATTTTTTATTTTTTTTATTTTATCTGTGAAACAAGGCGATCCTCACCTCAATCACAAATATCTCAACTGGTTTTCAAGATTGATGGGTGTTTTATTCTCCGAAAGTAAGACAAATGAACAAGCTTTAAGATGATATCAATAACTCCACATGCCCAAAAATTGACGGGCGCCCAATTCCACAGCGTCATGCCATAAATATGAGTTTGCCATCCATAAATTATGTTCATATGATTTTTATCAGAAATTGTTTTTAGAAATGCATTACAGGAAGGCTGAAATCTCTTTAGATATCTTTATAGATCTATGTATATAAATGAAAGTAGCTTACATTATAACATACCTGTATCATCGTTGAAGGTTGGAAGTTTTTTCTATGCTTGTGGGAATCATAGAAACATAACAAGGAATCTTTTTAGGGCAGACTAATAATATGGGTTCTACTGATTTGGATATCATTGATGAAAGTTTCACCAGCAGTCATTCTGGTCTCAAATATGTAAAGATATGTCTCCACCAGGATGTTCAGGGTTGGAATAGTCTTTGGTGTCTCTAAAGCACGTTTTCCCGAGTGACTTATAACGTGTCTAGGGTAGCCTACTTAAATGTGCTTCTATTTGTGAAAAGTCAGCTTTTTCCACCTTACTTTCTCCACCCAACTTGTGTATCGTAGCATTTCTTTGTTTGCATACCCGCCCTTGCTCATGTGTAAAGCTTGTTGAAATACTTCACAATATCACGATATCTATTTTCAGCTTTAAACTGCTCATCTCCAACTGTGTGAATCCCATTTGTGCTATTAAAATGGTACATGAAACCCAGTTACCTTTAGTTTTTTGTTGTTAAAAAAAAAAAATTTTTGTAAAAAAAAGTTTTTTTTGTGGTGCTCGCAACTACATAAGGTTTTATGAGCATGTGAGACACTTTTTAAGCATTTTCAGTTTGATAGGAGTTAGTTTTGAATTTTACCTGGGTGGCGGCTGAAGCCTACTCTATCGATTTTAGGACCACCAAGGGATTTTTAATGTGCGCAACTTGCATACAGGACCTCCCAAGATTTTTTTTTGGTCCCAGAAGGCTAGGTGTTAGATCTTGCCTATCTTAAGTTCTGGGCTGTGGATAAAAGACAACACTAAGCAGGTTTACCTCTCCTTCTTTTATGTGTTTGAATATTACCCTTTGAACTACCATGATCTTCATCACTTATTATCTAATTGTGTTGCAAGGGCCATAAAACTCTTACTAAAACATAAAACCTCTCTCTCTCTCTCTCTCTCTCTCTCTCTCTCTCTCTCTCTCTCTCTCTC